ACCAGAAAATTCTTGAAGAGCTCATTTATGTTTCTTGTGTAATCATGTCTAAAGTAGATGGAATAAATCTATTACCTATTTTTTTCATATTCAGACTACATGAGAGTTTCTTCATTTTTTTCTCATCTATGCAGTTAATGTGTTCCCACTACTTGTAAGGACACTGGAAGATGCTGACATATAGCAACGTGTAAGACAACTGTTCTCAAGTGGCCTGTGAAATTGTACTAACTCCTCATTCTTTTCTCTCTGTTTTGGCATATCCAAAATTATTAAGTAAAAAATATTAATTTAACTAATTAACATTTTATGCAGAAAATTACAAGTTAAATGACACGTTTTCACTTTTAAAGAACTAATCTGGACCTCATGCACACTCCATCTTAACATCCTCTTTAACATTTACTTCTTTCTACTGTCCAATTCCTCCAGGGTCCTGTATTCCTTTCACGTTAGGGCAGGGGTTGGCAAACTTTTTCTGTAAAAATCCAGATAGTAAATATTTTAGGCTTTGTAGGCCAAACAGTCTTTGTTACAACCACACAATTCTGCTGTTTTAGGTGAAGGCAGCTGTAGACAATACATAAACCACTGAGCACAGGTGTGTTTCAATAAAACTTTATTTGTTGACAATGAAATTTGCATTCATATACTTTTCATATATCATGAATATTATCCTTCTTTTAATTTTTTCCAACTATTTAAAAGTGTAAAACCCATTCTTAACTCTTGGATTGTTCAAAAACAGGCATTAAGCCAGATTTGGTCCATGGTCTAATGGGCATGCAGCTTCTTCAAGGGCTAAGTAACGTTCATTCAATCACAGCCCAAAGGAAAACTCTAAAAATGGTTCTGTATATAAAGTTTTCCAATATGACACAGTCAAAGCTTTATGTATCATCAAAATGTCCATAATTTTCCATTGGTTATCCCACTTTATTAGTTGGTTCATCGAAAAAGATTTTAAGATTCTACTGGGACTTTTTCTACTTTTCATTATGAAACAGTATATATAAAATAATGTATAGGGGTTAGAACAGGAAACCAGAATGAAAGAAGCATAGGTTCTGTTCCCAGTATGGGGGTTCAGTTCTTTGACTAGATAAACAACTTGACCACTTCACATCTCATTTACTTTGTCTGGAAAGTTGGAATTGCCACATGTTGTTACTAAACAGCTATATTAAATATTAAAGAACACGGAGGGGAAAATTATGCTTTTATGTTCCAGAGTACTCACATTTTTAGAAAAAATGTATGTTCTTTTCTTGAGCCATAATGTACAACTAAAAAGATGTATATTTCTGAAAAGGAATGTAGTGGGTGATTTGTTCTGAACATTTTGGCATAGAAGAATATCTAAACCCAAAGGTGGGATCAAGCAAACTATAGCACAAAATACACACATGTAAAACCTCATGGTTTTCGTATGTGCCTACTATTACCAGGAAAGGTTTGGTTCAGGGGTCTGTAAAAATGTTTTCTTCCTTTAAGTATATTGCTGTGAGCCAAGACATCATCAGTTTCAAGCTCAGTAAGTTCAGTTGAAAGTGTGAATGTTCAGCAAAAGGATGTTTTTGAAAGGAGACTGAAAATCCGCTGTGCCAGATACCTGAAATGTTGTTAGGGTATTCAGTGGAAAATTTCGTTTCCACATTATAAATAACTAGGATATTTTAAGAGATCCAAGACTAGTAACTTCCAAGAGCTGCTTATATTAGTTCCACTGAAATGTGAAATGGAGGAAGGGTGCTGAGGAAGGCTATAAAGCTGAATTACCGGATATGATTAATTAAAATAAATAATCTCACCATTGATTAAGTTGCCCTTAAAATCCCCAACCACTGAGGCCTGCATATTTTGCTATCCACCAAGTGAAACAAACAAACAAACAAAAAGGACAAAACAGCAATAGAGAAAGAAAGAGGAAAAGTCCCTAAGACGATTTTTTATTCAAAAAAACTTCTCTGGGGGCCGGCCTGTGGCTCACTTGGGAGAGTGTGGTGCTGATGACACCAAGGCCACGGGTTTGGATTCCCATATAGGGAGAGCCGGTTAGCTCGCTTGGGAGACCGTGGTGCTGACAACACCAAGTCAAGGGTTAAGATCCCCTTACCGGTCATCTTTTAAAAGAAAAAAAAAACACAAAACTCCTCTGGTCGCCCATAGTTGAAATATTGACTGTTTCTCAGTGTCTTCAAATTTCCGAGAGTTCTCCTTCTGTGGACTTCCTGGGAGAAGGACAAGCCCAGAGAAGGCGGCATATCACCCAGCACGGTAGTTATTGAATTTCTATCTCCCTTTGACCACGGAAATAATCTATTTCCTGTAATTCCTTCCCTCTTTTGCAGCCCCCACACATTTAAAAACAAACAAGTCAGAGGTCTCTGTTAGACAGTGACAAAACATGCCCAAAATAAAACTTCCCCCCAAAGGAAAAAAAAAAAGTCGTGCGTGCGGTGTGAGTCGTGTATTTATGAGTATCAGTGTGTGGATGTGCGAGTGTGTGCAAGTACATGTGAGTAGGTGTGTAAAGTAGGAGAGTAACGAATGCAGTCGCTCTCTCTCTCTCTCTTTTTTCTTTGGAGGAGGAAGCCAGGCTTCCAGTCTCAGGTCGGCCGCCTGCGGCTCTGCTCTGGGAGACTTGTGCACTCAGGAGGCGCGGCGGTGCCCAGGGTTAGAGCTCTCCCCTGTGACCAAAAAGATAATTAAAAATCGCACGCGCAGGAGAAAGCTCAACTCGTGGCTGCGCGTCTAGTTTGTCCGGATAAATGGGTTCTCGCACCAGGCGGCGCCAGGGCCAGGAGGACAGTAGGCCCGGCGCGAGGAGTGGATTGGAGAAGGGGGTGTCATAGCGGGTAGAGCAGAATCGTTTCTCAGCGTCGCGTCACCAAGGGTGGTGGTGGCAGCCGGCCGTGGGAAGGCAGAGGGGCAGGAGGGCGCGGCATGGAAGTTCAAGTCTCTGGGAGGATATGTAGGAGAGGTGGGAACGTGGAGAGAGAAGTTGGAAAGGGAAAGATGGACAAGGGAAGCGTGGAGTTGTGAGTGGAGTAAGAGGGGGTAAAAATAAAGTCCCAAGGAGGAAGGACAGAGTGGTGTTCCCTGAACACCATCTTTACCCCCGCGAGAGCGCACGCCTTGCCACCTCCCACCTCCACCTCCGCTCCTGCGGTCTGGAAGTCCCCGAGTCCCCGGCACATCTCTTCGGCGTGGCAATCTTGGTAGCCAAGTCACACAACCACTGCCCTCCAAGTTCATCTTGTGCTTGCAATGGGCTCCAGGGTCTGCGCCCCCCCCACGCTCTCGGAGTCCTTCCAGACCCCTTCAAGTGCGCAGACCCCGGGCGCGTGCTCAGCGAAAGGAAGCAATGCTTTAAAAACCGAGAGGGAGGGTTGTGGAAGGTCGCTAACCAGGGTGAGGGAGGTGTTTGCATTGAGCAATAGAAATACCAATTAATGGGGATGTGAATTGCTTTAAATAAGATGGGAGGTGGTGAATTGATGGCTCAACCATCTTCTTTTGTACTCCGAGGGGGAGGAATTCTAATTTTTCATTTATTTTATAAAATCACTTATTACTGTGTCAGCTACCTTATTAGTGATCTTTGAAACTTTGGCAACTGGTGATTCTTTTGCAAACACGTTTTAAAGCTTTGAAAGGTTTAAAAGATTTTGATAATAGCAAGATACATAACAGTACACAACGCAGAGGGTGAAATGGCCCCGCGCCCCTTTCTTGGGGTGTGATAGCCTCGAGCGGATTTCCCGGCTTCTGCGGGCGCAGCACATTGTTTTATTTGTTTTGAAAGCTCAGACTTTGAGGCTGGTCGGAGACACCCACGTGTTTCTGACTCTCATCAGCGTAATGATCGCCTTAGCCAAAGTCGTGTCTATATAAACCACAAAAACCTAATCATTAGAAATCCCAGCCTCCAAAAACCACATTTTAGGTAAAAACTGCCGCTTTTTTTCCCGCGCTCCTTCAGCCTCTTGACCACAACTTTTTGGGGATCCAAAGTCGCTTTTTAACGCTCGTTGAGAAATAAATACATAAATAAATAGCCACTGAAGCATTTTGAATTTTTTATTTTGTATTTTTAATTATTTTTTTTCCAGGAGCAGTGGGGAAGAAAGTTAAGACATCGGATTTAGTTTTAGATGCAGACTAGACTTTAATAAAAGATTGAAATTCATGGAAAACTGCTGGGGGGTTTCCCCAGCAAAGAATTTTGCAACTTATTTTAATCACCAAGCTGACAGTTTTCCAGTCCTTTAAAAAACTCATCCCTGTTCTCTAGGAATGAAAAGACTCAATATATAAGAAAAAAGACGTGTCCAGCCATCAAGTTGAGTTTCTAAAAGCTATTTTGACAACTCCCCCTCCCTCATTTTTTGAGTCACTTAAGACAAAAAACACCCAAACCCTGCAAAATCTTTCTTTTTTCCCGGGAACCGCTCAGCAGAGGTGGGGGGTGGGGTGGGGTGGGGAGGGTGAAGAGTGCTGAGAAGTCAGCACAGACGCTCAAGAATTTTCCTTCCTCCTCTCCTGAAGTTACAACGAAAAATAACGACAGTCAGATCAGCCCGCGGCTCTCCGGCGTCTCAGCTTCAACCTCGTCCGACTAAGAGGGGCTTCCTAGTCTTGGAGGTGGGGGGAGCAAGAGGACGCGACCAGGCGAGATCCCCCTAGACTGGGGCCGCCTCTCTCGGCTTCGCGAGCTGTGCACGGCGTGCGGGGGGCTTCTTCTCGCGGCCGGCGGGCGGCGGCAGCGGCTGCGATTCGTAGGCTCGAGATCCGTTGCCCTGAGATCCGCTGCCCGTGACTTACCTCCTGGCACCTTGAGGCGCGAGGGACAGGAGAGCTTTCAAATAGCAGAAGGAAGTGGATGCAAGGAGGTGGCGGTGAGAGGGCGAGAAGAGAAGGGAAAAGGAAGGAGCCGAGCCGGGGAGCCGGGCTGGCAGCCGCCGCGGGAGGAATCTGAGCGTGCAGCCGGCGCGGGGGGAGCGGCGGCTGGTTGCGGCCGCCGCACGACAACCGCACCATGGTGGAGATCATCGCCGACCACCCGGCCGAACTCGTACGCACGGACAGCCCCAACTTCCTGTGCTCCGTACTGCCCTCGCACTGGCGCTGCAACAAGACCCTGCCTGTGGCCTTCAAGGTAAGAGGCCACAGCCGCCCCCCGCCCCCGGCCGGGCGCCGCGGAACCTGCCAGCCGGTGTGTCCATGCCCATGGGGGCCATGCCCCAGACGTCCTCCAAGACCCCCTGCCTCGGAGGCTCTGACCTGAGAGACCCCCGGCTGGCCCTCTCCCTCTGGATGCCCCGGGGGGCTCAGGGCGCAGTCATTCCGCGCAAATCCCTCCCTCTCCCACCTGTGCGCGCTACCACCCCGACCTCAGTCTTGCCCCCCTTACCCGTTCATCACCCCTCAAGTCTTCCAGCCTTCATTCTAACCCACTCCTCTCCCTCTAGGATCCCCGAAGTGACCACTTTTTGCACCGCCAGCCTGACTTGCTCCACCCCTTCCCCATCCCCAGGGGCGAGAATCCCCTGCACTTTCCCCTGGGACTCTCACGTCCTCCTCCCCGGGCATCGCGGACGACCCGCACCGCGGGCTGCCTGTGCCGCCTCTCTCTGGGATTCTGCGCGCTCCCACTCGCTTCTCTTCCAGCCATACGTCTCTCAGCCGGTCTTGGCGTCTCTTCCTTGACCTGCTTGAGCTCAGCGGTCCCGGCCCCTCCCGGGCTCGAGGGCCGGCGTTCGCGGGGTGGCAGGCGCCGGGCGTTAGAGCCTGGGGCGGGGTAACTGCTGAGGCGCGTGGGCCTCATTACCGGTGCCCAGGAGGGTCCAGAGCAAACTTAGACACTGAGGGGCGAGGAGGACGGGGGCGTTTGTTCTGTTCGCTGACCCGCGGCAGTTCCCGTTACCGGGAGGAGGGCGGGGCCGCTGGGGTCTCCGCGCCCCGAGGCGGGGGAGCCCCTGGATCTGGGGTGCTGAACCCTCGAGTGAGTGGAGGCGCGGGCCGCGGCCAGGGGCTCGGGCTGTCTCTTCCAGCCCGGACCGAGCTCCCCACCTCACCCCGCCTGGAAGTGATGAGGGAAACCTGTGGAACAACTTCGGTTAGCCCCACTTGAAAACTGATGTGAAATTTTGCAGGTTTGCTTTAATATTTACAAATGTCTTAAATCTCAAAAATCCCTCCAGCTTCTGAAAGGTCGTGGGTGGCTCCTGCCCGTGGCCTGGGCGCGGAGGGAGTGAGCCGGTTGCTTGAGAGCGGCCCCCGTGCGCCTCACGGCCTCCTAGGCCCGCCCGGCCCGTTAGTTTGAGCGCGGGTGGCACCAGCGGGAGTCGCAGGCAGCCGCTGGGCAGGTTGAGGTTGGGTCTGAAGCTTCTCGCAGTAGTCCGATGGGTCCCCATAACGCGATCTCGATTTCCCGGGGGGGGGGGCAGCCCCCTCCACGGGGAGACGCGGAGCCCGCCGGGCCGAGCACACACTGGGTTGATAGGGAAATGGGTTCCCGGGTTGTCCACCGGGAGTAGACGCCAGGGGTGGAGGGGGCGGTGAGCCAGACATGGAGATGAGCACTCTCAAAGTGACGCCTCCGGCTCTTTCGCCTGTGAACTCGTGTAGGTGGGCCTGGGTTCCCTGGGTTGTGAGATCTGTGGAGAGCAGGGTAAGCAAGGCCTTGAGGGAAGGAAAAAAAGGGGAGGAATCATGCCAGTTCCTTTATGGTGGGCCCTGGGGCCAAACTCCCACGGGCCACTGGCAGTTCCCAGTTGTTGATCACCCCCCACCCCACGCACCAATTCAGATTCCGTGTGTGGGTGGGGTGGAAAGAAAGAGTCCAGGTCAATTAGAGCTGGTTATCTCGCTAGGTCTTATATCAGAACAGAAATCAAATGAATTGTTATGGAAAGGGGATGTTGCCTTCTGGGGCAAGTTTCATTTTGCAGTTGGCTCAAGATTTTTTTTTTTAACCGTCACATTTCTCCTTTTACAAACCACCCATTTTGTAGGTCAGTGTTTTCTTCCTTGAAATATGAAAAGCTCAGGATATATGTGAATTGTAGAAATTTAAATTTCCACGCAAAAGATATCTTTTATAATGTTCATCGTCTGAGGGCCCAGAATTTTCTAGTTAGCCTTATGTGAGGGTGGAAATGTTTCCACTAACCGCTTCCCCCACTAATCATCCCAAACCAAAAAAAAAAAAAAAAAAAAAAAAAAAAAAAAACCGGGGGGAAAAAAAAAAAAAAAAAACACAAAACTCATCACATAGGAAATACAAAAATTCTATTTGCTGATGAGACAATTGGGATGGGCCAATGTGTTATAAATTTATTAAAATACAGGACACAAAAAATATCATTTAGATTTTTGATGTTCTGTATACTGTTAAGGTGTAACTGTCAAGGTATAACTGTCTTGAACTATTCTCTTACGTTTATGATGCTGAATTGATTTTGAGCTGAGTATTTTGGATGGAAAGGATGTTTTTGGCATGAAGATAGAATGCAATTTAGTTTGGGCTATTCTCAGATATTTTGGTTGTTATGTAGGTTTCCTCACTACCACCCTTTTAAAATAACTTCGAAAATACATTTCTTTTTTTGCTGTTAATCATACTTGTTAATTATAGAGAATACATTTTTGTTATTTTATCCAGTAGACAGAGCATGGGTAACACAAGACCATATAAAATTGAATGTTTTAATTCCTATTAATTGAATAATGAATTCAGTTAACCTAAAACTTGACTCAGTGTTTTCCCACTCCCGTACCTGTGTTTAATGGAATTCAAAAAGTGGGTGATAGCTGAGATCCATTCACTATAGGACTTTTGTCTCTCTGCTGACAAAAATGTATAGATATTTGGAACGTCCAGATTTAGACAACAGTTTTTATCTCTTTCATCCGAATGATGTAAAAACAATTTACTTACCGTACTTTTGGAATAAAAGCCTGAGAACAGTAAGCTTTCTACACTCTTGCAATATAATCAAATGCATCTGCAATAAGGAAATAATGTGAAGTCTCCGTTTTAAAAGTGGTGACAGCAATTTGGCTATCATATTTGGAGCTATGTACAAAATCAATTATAGTGTTGTTGGGTACATAGCGGATAGGTAAATGCACTTAAAAACACACACACAGAACTTAATTGCTGAGAACTCTGGTATTCAAATCAATACAATATTTATTGAGCCCATATTTTATGTCTGTGACACTGAACTCAGCACTGCAGAGAATCAGAAATGAATTTAATAGACTGTTTTGATATAAGTTAATTTAAAATAGTGCTTCAACATGACATTGACAATGTATTGCATTAAGAGGTAAGTATGAGGGTACTTCAAAAAGTTCATGGAAAGATTCATATTATCTTTTAATTCTATATCTTTTCATGAACTTTTTGAAGCACCCTTGTAATGTATTAGTGTTGTTCATCTAATCTTGTTTTGGGATTATATAAAAATACATAATTCATTTAAATTCAACATTTAAAAATGGAAAAACAACTATTATACTTTATATAAAGTTGTTTAATAGCATTGTATTTTTAACAAAGTTCTGCAGTTTTGAAATGTTCAGTCTCCCCAGGTGTCAAGGAAATGGAAATATTTTTAACATTTCTTTCCGGTGTATCTCACTGAAAGCTTAAAATAGTTAAGGCATACTATTAGAGGATCCCAGGCCCTTTCTGTCCCAGATAATTCTAATGACAAAGAAGCAATCCAATTCAGGTTATTAGTTGATGGTCAACTAGAAATGGTTGGGAGAACATGTCAACCTGGCATCCAGTAGCACTCTTTTAGTTAGGGGTCTGTCAGCATTTCCACTGTGAAGCCTGGTTTTCAGGGTTCATAACTAAGTTGCTTTAAATAGCTTCAAGCTGAAATACTATGCAGAAATTTTAAGTCCAGATGTATATTTTAAAACTAAAAGTAGTGCAAAGCTATTGCGCTCTTTTAAGTTAGAGAACACTTGTCTATATATACTTACCAGTATCATGTTTTTCTGGCAATGTTAAAGAAAACACATTTTTAGATATATGATCTAGTACTCATAGTTAATTCTATATCTTTAATAATACCTTTCAGTATTCGTCAAAAGGAAAGTTTCAAAATGATGGAGCAATTTCTATTTGAAAATAATTTTTTGACAGCATTGGCCATTTTTCTCTCCTCAAAAACAAGTATGCAACTAATAAATAGTTGATAATAGTGAGTTGTATTTTTCCTACGTACTTAATGATCAGATTTTATGTTTGTATCTTTTTCAATCTAATTATACCTAAATAAGAGAAAATAGGTTATTAAACCTGTTAAATCCTTATTAAGCCTACTGCAAATTGTTATGCAAAATTATGTAAATCATAATAGATTTCAGGTTGTGTAAAGACAGACACATTTTTTGTGTTATGCCTTTAAATGCAATAAACCTTATTTAAAGTTAAATATTTTAGGATTAAATATATAAAACTTATTGGCCAGGTAGTCAGAACTAATAGTTTTAGATGGAAAATAAATATCCACAAAATTTTAGAAAACCTATATTTGAAAAAAATTATGGTAGATGTCTTTTATTATTTTTTCCCCTTTGGCACTACTGTTTGTATCCTTTCAAAATTCCAGAATATCCATTGTTAGATGATCTAAGCCATCTTGATACATGGCATATAAATTGCCGGCTTAAATTGAAATAATTTCTATCAAAATTTCTCTTTGACATATATTTTAAAAATTATGAAATGATATAGTGTATTTTTTTCTCTAGAATCCAACTGGCTTTTTCTAAATTCTGAGTTAAATTCTATAAATTTACTATAGAATTCCTTGAAATTTTGATAAAAGTTTTTGTAAAGTTATCTTTAAATAACTATTACAGAAATAAAATTTTTGCTTTTTGCAATTACTGTCTCACATCTCTTTATTACAAAAAAGATTTGATCAGATTCTATCTTGAAAAATAATTATATTACAATTATACTCTAAGTACAATGTGCCAAATGATGTTGGCCTGTGAGAATAATTGATTAGCTAAGACTAGACTTCTGTCCATAGAAATGTCATGGGCAATTTCAATTTCAATATAAGACCACAGAAACAATTTTAAGGGTCTGAGTTAATTCTCCATTGCTCCTCTTTCAGAATGATTCACAGTTTTAGTCATACGGAGTCTCATACAATATTTCAATAGCATTTTACTTTATTTTGTACAAGCCACATATCATGTGATTTAAATGCTAGTTATAGTGAGGTGAGCTAAATAAAGGAATTTTCTTTATTCTGAAATGTCAGGACAGAAAGTTATTTCTCTGCTTTCCATGAAGTTTCTTAAGTTTGTAGATTTTATATTTTGAAAACAACTAGGAATGTAATTGTTAAGGTTTCATCCCGAATTATTCTTTGCAGAGCTGTATTTTTGTATTGGGTACTATGGGAACAAATTTTAATTCGTGCTTACTCCTCACTAGTTAAAGAGAGATTTTTGACTGCTCTTTACCCCTTAAAATGTTTTTCCATTGCTTGGGTTTGGTACAGATGAAATGTGTAAAAATTTCTTGATTCTTCTTGTTTTCTTTTAGATAAACACAGTTGAGAATCTCTAAGGGAAACTTTTTAGCTTCAGAGATCTACTTTTTTAAAAAAAAACTCTCAAACATATAATTATACTTCTGATTTATATAAAGTCAAATACAGTACTTCTCCACCCACTCCTCCCCCAAACCCACACTCTTTTTTTTTTTCCTCTCCGAAAAACATTGGGCAGTCTGGTTTGGTAGAGTGAATAACAGAAAAAAACAATATATTTAGCCATTAAACTGGAGTTTAGCTTTAACAGGAAAGGTTGTCACTGCGTTGTCTTAGCATTTTTTTCAGGCCAATTTGTGAGAGCCTCATGTGAGACTCACACAACTTGTGATTATCTATTTGTTTTGTTGTTTTGTTAAATGCTATAGGTAAAACATACCAATATGTAATAGGTCATTATTATACTGCTTAAGCAAAGTAAAATGGATTTATGCATTTCACTCCTAGGGATCTTTATTTGTTTTGTTGTTTTGTTAAATGCTATAGGTAAAACATACCAATATGTAATACGGTCATTATTATACTGCTTAAGCAAAGTAAAATGGATTTATGCATTTCACTCCTAGGGATCTTTTCTTTTATATTTTCCCATATTGAATCAATTTTCCTTTCCTCCTAACAAAAAAAAAATCCATTATGTTAAAAATATGCAGTAAAATAATAATGTCCCAGAGCTCTTGAAACCCTTTATTTTGGGGCAGATTTCTTTATATTTTTCCCGAAATTTAGCCAGACTGGAATGAAACCCACCAATAGTCATCCTATATCTTTCAACAATACCAAAGAATATATCAGAACATGAAGTGAGTGAAGAGTCACATACTCAGTTGAACCCTATGTTTAGCAGATAGCAGACTTGGAAACAACGCTATGTTACCCTCCTTGTCTTGCAAAAGACATGTCATAATAATTATACTCTATACTTATATAGTATCTTCTACATTTTACAAACTTGAAAAAATTATTTTAAACTTATATTGGAAAATCGTGTTCCTGAAGATGAAGTTACTTGTGTGAAGTCATAGCAGATATATAGCAGAAATGGAAAACAAGTGGAGCCTCTTAATTTTTAGAGCATTCATTCTTTTCTAAACAGTACAACTTTTCTCCTGCCTTTATTAATATGCTTACTGGTTCCATATTAACTTTGACACAGAAGGCCACACAGTAGGTGTTAAAACACAATATTTTTGAGAGTACAAATTGTCAAACATTCAGATGAATACTGGCAAACATAGTCAATTATTTCAGTATTTTGAAATGTTCACATTTTTGGCATTCTGACTGAAAAATTGAAAAGCGCATTGCCTACATCAGGAGCATAGCACTAACTATATTCAGTAGCCACTTGAGGTACTAGATCAAATATACAAGGAAGAAATTTTGTTCTCAAGGGATTTACTCTTGACCTAGGAGACTTTTCAGATTGAGAATAACTATATACTCCAGATAAAGGGTAGTCAGATGATTCTTTCTTTTCTGGGATGGAAAGAGTTGTCAGAAAACTAGTTTGGAGCAAGGGCACATCGCTGTTAGTGAGGGATGCTGACTCAACCTTTAATTGATTCTCTCTCAGAGTTTTAGCTGGTAGATGCATGGCTGTGAGAAGTTGTGTTCTTTATGGAGCTCTTTTATTTATTTATTTATTTCAAAAATATTTATCAAACACTTACTATGTTCCGGGCACTGTTTTGAGAGCTTGGCATATAGTGGTAAACAAGATGATGAGGTTAAAGCCCTTCCATCATGTAGTTTCCAAACTAGCTTTGGGCTAGTATGTCAAAAGGAGTAGGTAGATCATTAATATACGTACACTGAAATGAGGATCACTTGAGTATAGTGGGATGCTACGGAAAGTGGGTTCTATAATTTAAGTAAAGCTTTACAATTTTTGAACTAACAAAGTGCTAAATGGAAGAAATGGAACTAAGAAACAGCCTAAGAGAAAAGTAAGAGTCACAAAAATATGGACAGTTTTTTTTGTTTGTTTGATTGTTTTCGTGGCTGGAGGAGAGGGTAAGGTGGAGGGGTGTTGGGCTAGGGATCATGGATGGGGGAGATTCAGTCCTGAAATATAGGTTTAGTGTCTGTTTTTATCACACCATAAGAAATCTGCTTTAATAAGAGTATGTAACAAGTATATTAGGAACATGGAATTAAATGCTTAGGTTTGTCTTATGGAAATCTTGACAAAGGAGGGAGTAGCACTAGAAGTAGAAAGGATAAAAGGGATGTTTGCCAGACAGGCAAGCACAAAGGGGTGACATTATCAGAGAGTAGTGGGCTACTTTAGCAGGACCCATTGCTTAATTACTATAAGAGCACGTGGAAGCTGAATAAAGAAGAGTTGGAAATAATCTGAATATAGGGTCCTGGAAGTTAGGTGAAATAAAGGATTGTTGTCAAGGGGCAGGTTCTCTGTAGTAGATTAAGAACAGTATATTTTATATATGTCAGTGAGGTATCTGCACCAATGTTCCCTTACCAGGCACTTACTTGCAAGTTAGCCCACCCAGGTTAAAGTGTGATTCCTAGCCTTGGAACAGAGAAAATGTTTGTTATCTCTAAAGACTGATTATTCAGGATCCTTGCTTAACTGGGTTAGTCTGCTTCAGATTAACTTTTGAAGATTAAGGAGGCAAATGTGTCATTCTAAGATGGCAGATGGGACAAAACAGAATAGAAGGCTAACGGCATATTTTTTGTCTATGCTACTCACTTGTCAATGATCATTCTACATCTAGTCTTTAAGCTTCATGATGGCTTTGGATATCCCACTGGGTCCTACTGCAGAGTGGTCATTCAGTAAATGTTTGTAATCTCATTGAAAGTTGAATATCTACCCCAAAGTAAGGTGATGAAATGTAGATGACCCCATATCTAGGGGTTCCATGTAGTCAGGAACTCCATGGTTTCACCTAAAAGTCTTCTTCCACAGAGCTGAACAGACTTTCTATTTTTAAGCCTGTGTTTGGGATAAGACTGTGCATGGGATAAGACTGTGCACATGATAAGAGTGTGCACACCTCAGGACTGTCCCTGAGAGGAAGGCTGCAGGCAGGCAGGCAATGCCTTAATATGTATGATGCAATCTGCAGATGGGGCATCAGCCTTCCTTCTGTGGCATAATTCCTATGGACAACCTAATATGGGGATTTAATAAAAATGTACATATATCCTGTGAAGAATCCAACAAGAAATAAAGGAAATTTCTGCCTGGTTTTGAAATGGGTGGACCCTGAAACTTTGGTCTATTTGAAGTGTTTGAAGAATATCATAACCCACATACAGATGCTTCACTACTGTCTGCCATTACTAGACTAGAGCAATGAGTCTTGATAAGACATATCCTTTACAATAAGAATATATTCTCAGTTTTTAAACTTTTCTGATATACCATTATTGTTGCTGTGTTTCCTGTTTTATGTAGGTGGTAGCCCTCGGAGAGGTACCAGATGGGACTGTGGTTACTGTCATGGCGGGTAATGATGAAAATTATTCTGCTGAGCTCCGAAATGCCTCTGCTGTTATGAAAAACCAAGTAGCAAGGTTCAACGATTTGAGATTTGTGGGCCGGAGTGGACGAGGTAGGTCTCTGATTTTTGATACTGATAATGGAATGAACGCTTTAGGGACTTCTGATGAAAAGTAGAGTGATCTGTATACAAATCAGCACCTTCTTTTACTGAGTAGAATTACTGAAGATTTGACTTAAATACATCCAGATGAAGTTGAGTGTTATTCTGAGTACTCAGACCTTTTTCATTTGTTTTATGATATTGAAAATTCAAAGAATGTTTTCAGAAGAACTAGCTCCTAATTTCACTGGGTGTGAGCATATAAGGAAAAGAAAAGAACAGTTGGAGGATCTAATTCTGAATTATGAGGAGTCAAATAACTGAGTAAATTGAGTGGCAAAAGGGAAAGAAAAATGAATGCATTGGATCAATTTCCTGATAATATCAATTTTGCTCTAAGTTGTTGCAAGGACAGCTAGCATAATGCTCTTCACTTATCACATATGTTACTTCTATATGATTTAACTTACTCTCATAATAAGAATCTATTAAAAATCATTTTTTTTACAGAAGGCTTTTCTTTTGAATAAGTGAATAATGTATTATTTATGTTAGAATGACTATGTAAAGTTGCCTAGACAGATTATCAGGACTCTAATAGTTCCACACTATATAAGGATTTCCACCATCTGAATCCGTATTCAAATATTGGGAATCCTTAAAAGGATCATAAAACAGGAAATAATCCCTTTTAGGGTTTTCACAGCTGTTTTATAAGTGGGGCTAATGTTTTTTAAAAAAGTCTCTAAAGAGACCATTATTTTAGTTTTTATTTACTTATTCTACAGAGAGTCTTTTACTAGTCATTCACCTGTTAGAAGTATTATGTACATTTATTTATTTATTAAATCTAATATTTCCATTTCAAGTATTTCAATAAGAATAGAGAAAATAGACGATTTTAGTTGAGGTGAAATAAAATTATAAAGCCCTATGGAATCACTTCAACCAGGTTTGAATCAGGAAATGAGAAGCACCAATTTTTAAACCATGTCTAATAATTGCTCTTTAGTTTGGATCAGATGTCAAGTTATTACCATTATAAAAACTTGATAAGGGAAATTCAAGTAAAGCTGTTTCCGATGAGTAGTTTTAGTTTACTTTCTAGGAACAGGGCCAAGAAGTTGTACTTTTTAACTTAAAAAAAAAAAAAGATGCATGCTAATGAGATACTGTCACTGAAAGGTTGTTTGAAATAAAATGAGGCTCACAGTCTCTGGTAGAATCAAAACTAAAGGGGTTATCTCTTCATCAGGTTTAGTTTACTTTCATTAAAAGGAAAAAAAAAGATACATCATATATCACTATAGACTGATTAGATTTGGTGTGTGTGTATGTGTCTATGTGTGTATTCAGTCTTTTTTTTTTTTTTTCTTTTTCTCCTTAGTTTCTCATGCAGGTCTGCAATATAATTAGTTTCTCTTTTTTTCTAGTAAGAATGAAGAAAAATGAACATGATGATTTACCTGTATGTTCGGAATCTTTCTTTTTCTGTAATATATTATTTTTTTAACTAGAGTAATGAATTTTAGTATTTAAAGGATTAGGTGCTATACCTAATTTTACTTTACAGATTCAAGTTAGTGTTTTCATTTATCTCGATTTTGTATTAAATAGATGCTGCATAACTTTTTCTGATCAATTTGAGTAGAAACTATGGCAAAGTGATAGTGTACTTTGTAAACCCTCAACATATTTATTTAAGAAACTTCAAAGAGAAACAAAGGGTGTGCACTGTTTTACTATATTGGCTTTCTGAGTTTTGGCTGGTTTCCCAAATAGCAATTTTTATATTTTTAAAAAAAGACAGACTTAACTGCTTGCAGACTTTTCACGCATGGAAGATGAAGAAAGCTTCTTTTGATGAAGTGTAATTATGTCCAAACAGAGCTGACCCCCTCCCCCTATATTTCTTATGATCTTAACTGAAGAAAGTAGGATTTTTCCTTTGAAGCAGCCGGGACTTGGTGGAGGATCTGAAATGCTACAGTCTGCTGCCAGAGGCAGGATGGAGAAATTGGTCCAGACTTGTCTTCGAGACTTAGATGGGGGGTGAGGGGGGTGGAGCGGGTGGAGAGAGAGAGAAAAATTGATTTATCACTAATAATAGATTTTTTTTATCACTACATTGACATTGAATGAAAGGAAACAGTAATATCAAGCAAAAATGAGGAGGGAAAAGGGACAGAGAACACTGATAAGAGATAACACTGAAAAAAATGTGTCAGTTTCAGTGGCAGGAAACCCTTTAACCGGCTTTTGTACCCTTGGTACCTGACATGCTTTATAACAGACTCTCTCCAACTTCCTCTTTGATTTTCACACGTCTACATTTCTCTTGAGTTATTAAGTCTGGATCAACATGATGATACCATTGTATTTTCTTTCTCAGCTTTAAAAATTTGGTTTTCAGTAGCATTAAAAAATAAAAAACACCAGGTTCCTTAAATATTATTCTGTTATTAAGTCTGGATCAACATGATGATACCATTGTATTTTCTTTCTCAGCTTTAAAAATTTTGTTTTCAGTAGCATTAAAAAATAAAAAGCACCAGGTTCCTTAAATATTATTCTTTTTTTTTTTTCTTTCCACTGGTAGAAACATAAACTCTCAGAAACTGAAAAACAGTCTTAGATTTATAAAGGAGTCACGTCACTACTCTGGCTTTATGTGTTGTCTTATGATCACAGCTTTTGAAAGTGCTTTGGAATAAAATTAGAGCATCAATGAAACTTGCATTAAGTTAGGAGTGGCTTATGGCTTTTAATTGCCTTTTCTTTTTTTTCCCCTTTATATTTTAAACAAAAGTGCTTAAAATGGCTTTGGTCCTTAAATTTTTTGGTGTACTTCCTCTCTTTTGACATCAGGCATGCTGCTTTTAATTTACAACCATTTTTGAGCATCTACAGTGTACAGAGCATGGTACTTGGTCAATTTAGAATACAATCCTGCTTATAGTCTTACCCCTCCTGACTATTCCTGGCAGCCCCTCAGGCTAGGTTGGAATTGTCTATCAGTGATAGTTCCCTATGATTATCTTAGGAAAGATATGACTTAAGGACATATTGCAGAACTAGTTCCTAGATGAAACTGTGGATGAGACAATTAGTTATAGGTATTAGTTATACTTAGTGCTAGCTCCTTAAGTAAGAGTCTGCATTTTAAAGTAAGAGCCAGCATTTTTATCACTTAAGTGATAAAAAATGGGATTTGGAAAAAAAATGTTTCAAATTTAAAAAATGTTTTAAATTGTGAATGCCTACATAAACATTTGACTTAGGAAATGCATTATTATTATAAGATGAAGAACGAGTTACCCAATTAGGCAGTAGTTTCTGAAAGTTTCTTCAATGTTACATACATATTTCTTCTGAAGAGACAATAAAAAGTAGAGGGAACCTCCTTGATTTTTGTTTTTGTTGTTAAAGTACATCTTGATCCTTAGGATTTGATTCTGGAAGACCATAGGTATACTTAAATACTTGATACCTCTCCAAGACCTATCTCTTTTTAAAGGAAGTTTCTTTAGAAAACTGGTTCTGCTCTGAGCTTTCAGATGTGTTATATTTGAAGGATGAATTGTATATTTGGCTTTTCTTCCTACATGAGGTGTTTGCCTAACTTTAGAAGAAACATAAATGACTTTTAATATCCTAAGTAAGTTGTAAAGGTCTGTATTAGTCCGTTTTGTGTTGCTATAACAGAAATACCTGAGACTGGCTAATTTATAAAGAACAGAGCTTTATTTGGCTTATGACTCTGGAACAGCTGCATCTGGCACGGGCCTCAGGCTGCTCCTACTCATGGTGGAAAGTGGCAGGCAGCTGGTGGGTACAAGCAGATCACATGGTGAGAGGAAGCAAGAGAGAGAGAGGAGGTGCCAGGGTCTTTTAAACAACCAGCTCTCGTGGGAACTAATAGAGCAAGTACTCACTCGTAAATTCCCCCTCCCCCAGGGAAAGCATTAATCCATTCTTGAGGGATCTTCCCCATGACTCAATCAGCTTCCAACACTGTCACTTTGAGGATCAGATTTCTGTGTGAGTTTCGGGGGACAACACATCCAAACTCTATCAAGGTCTAAAATAGAAATATTCCCAAAACGAGTTTAGATAAATTCATGGATAGTATCTCTAGCACGTTATTTAGAGACATTAAGGATAATTGAGATACATACATCCTTGATTTATGAAGATTAGTGCCATTGATAACAACTGCCTTCCAAAGACAGCTGCTGTTAGAAATGCAATCCTGGGTCCATGGACCACTAATTCGATGCAGAATGGCATTTTTTGATGTTAAGATGTAAAGTAACTTTCATTCTAGAGATTTAACCGTTTTACTCCCCCAGATCTTTCCATCGTTCTGAGGTCCTGATCTGGACCCAGTGCTTCCTAGTTGTTTTAGTCCGTTTTGTGTTGCTATAACAGAATTACCTGAGACTGGGTAATTTATAAAGGAAAGAGGTTTATTTGGCTTAAGATTCTGGGACAGCTGCATCTGACAGGGGCCTCAGGCTGCTTCTACTCATGGCGGAAAGTGGCAGTCAGCTGGCGGATACAAGCAGATCACATGGCAAGAAGAAGCGAGACAGAGGAGGTGACAGGGTCCTATATACAACAAGCTCTCACGGGAACTAATAGAGGAGAACTCACTCATTAATCCCCCCTCCCCCAGGGAGAGCATTAATCCATTCATAAGGGATCCGCCCCCATGACTCAATCAATTTCCAACACTGCCACATTGGAGATCAAATTTCCACATGAGTTTTGGAGGGGACAACACATCCAAACTCGATCACTAGTCAAGTTTCTAATCTCGATTTCTGTAGACTTTCAGTTTTCCATAACTAGTTCAGACTCCTGGCTACATTATTCTTTTGTTCATAATAAATTCTTTGTTCCCTAGGCAATTAAATTACTTAAATCTATGTAATATCCAATATATAGTAGATGAATATGATATATCAATGATCCTTTAAAAATAGGTGCTTTCATCATCCTGGCTAATTATTATGTTAGCCTATTTACTGTTTCTTGGGCACATAGTGTTGATTAGGGCACATCTAAAAATAAATTCCTTTTTTTTTTTTTTAGTTCTCTGGCAAAGTGGCAGAATGGAAGAATGAAAATAAAAAGAGCATTTATTTTAGGGTCTGAAAGGCCTGGGTTCAGATCCTGATTTTTTTTCACTTATTGGTTGTGTGACCTTGGATAAATTACTAAGCTTCTCTGAGCTTCAACTTCCTCATTTGTGAAATGGGGGTGATAAAGTATAGTCAAGGAGACTTAAAACTATACATACTCAGTAACAAATGATGTGTGTCTTAAACAGATTTTAGGAACTTACGTGGTCTGGGTTGAAAAGAAAACCCATTCACTGGACTTGACAGGCAAAGAACTGTTGTACATTAAGCCTTGTATATAACCTGTTTCATATTAAGCTTTGAAAAGATTGCATTAAACTTTGTATTGCTACATATTGTCTAAGATATGTGTTTTGATTTAATACCCTTAGCTTTCAGTAAAGGGAAAAAGACTGACCAAAAAACAAAGCAAAACAGTGAGCTTTTTAAAGGTCTGTTACGGAGCAGACTAAATGAGTACTCTGGCCCGAGATTGCTGAATGTTTTATTGAGTCACTGTTTCACGCCCACCTTTTCCTGTCTTGTAACAGTTTGCAGTTTTGACTATCTGACATGACTAACCGTTGCAAATCTAACTGATTACAACTGTCAGTGAGTCTGTGTAACAGAGTCTGGTATCTTCTTCTGGAAAAATCAGACATCCAAGTCTGCTACCAAACTTTTCTGTCGTTTTCCCCCTTTTATTCATTGCTTTTAGCTCATTAATTTGAAGCATTAGATGTAATACTTTAATGAAGCATACTCTCTGCTAATACTAAAAATTCATGTTTGTATTGAGAGATGCCATGTTCATTTAGTAAAAAAAATAACTCACTGTCAGGGAGTTATTTCAAGGTTTAACAGCAGGGATGTATGTTAGGGGAGGGGTGTGCAGGGAGGAGAAAAACTTTGTTCCAGTAATGATGAAATCATCATACCACAGGCACATTAAGGCCAGGACAGGAGACACTGGCTCCTGTTAAAATGATTCCCATAAGAACTTTGCTCTTTCATCTTCTTATTGTAGTGCAGTTAAGCAAATGAAATGCTAAAACCATGTGAAGTCAATAACATAATCAACAATAATTTACTATTGTTCTTTCATGAGGTCGTGACCTAATCCTAAATAAAGATTTCTAAAATTATCTATGCTTGGATGTATTCCTAATGTTGGAGAAAACTGAAAGGAAGAGAACCCCCTCAAGTAGACCAGGGTTTTTGTTTTCATTACAACTGTTGCTACTGAGGAGCATTTGTAATTGGAGTCTTCTTGTACACTACTGCAGTGAAGATGATGATCTTAACATTCAACCAGTTTAGAAACGTCCTAAAGTGGCATCAGAGGGTTTCCAGTGTATAGTAAGGAGTTCTGACTTATTTTTGTTTCATTGCCTCTTCAGAGATGCTTAAGTGCAATTTGAATATCTATGCTGCATATAAACATCAATACTATCTTTTATATTCACTGTGTATTTTTCCTTTTTACATCTGCAGGCAAGAGTTTCACCTTGACCATAACTGTCTTCACAAATCCTCCCCAAGTAGCCACCTATCACAGAGCTATTAAAGTTACAGTGGATGGACCCCGGGAACCCAGAAGTAAGTACTTGCCTTTCTATTGAAAATGGTAATAGAGTTTGAGTTAATGTTACTTTCATGTACATAGTGTCTTTGCAAAGTTTGCTATGTGCATATACTTTTAGTGAGGGACAATTAGTAGAACTTCACAGTTAGTAGAAAATAAAATTATAGTTTTAAACTTTGCAACAAAATTGCTAAAGCATACTTTGGGAAATGAGTGAATAATGATTCAGTCACTATAGCTATTTGCTAAGAAATTCTGCTCATCCACTCTACAGATAGGGCAGAACAGACGGTGAGAGCTGAGGAAGAAAACAATAAACTTAAAAATCTTGAGCTTAGTTAAAAAGCATTTGTGCATGTTTCCCATGGCCTAAGAATGTGTTTTAGCTTTTTAACTCGCCCACTCAATTCCCTTTATGAAGAGCACACAGCTTAATTACAAAGAATTTATTTGCAAATGATAACTTGCTTGATTGTTACAACACTGTTGTTTGGTCATGTTCTATTAATTGTTATAGATGGTTTCTTTTAAAACATTGAGTCAAACCAGGTTTAAATCCATCTTGGTTTATTTGTCCATCTGGACATCCAGAAGGTTAAGGTAGTGCACAAAATCTATTTGGGCCAATATGTATTTTCCTCCTAAATCTAAATTGAAATACGTTTGCTTCTTCCCTCCCCACCCCCCAAACTGATTTGATCAAACTCGGCATAGCAGTATTTAAATATATTTAGAGATTAATGGTTGTTCAATATATAAAACTATAAAACATTAACAATTCTGTGCCAGTGGAAACATCATATAGATCTCTGCCTTGGCTGAGTGAAAACACTGGAGTCCTAGCCATTGCACTTAGGGAGTTTATTTTGCTTTGTGGTGGAGGTATAGCTGGCAGAAGTATTTGTTCTATAACAGTATACCTGCCTAGACCATGAGAGTGGCATATCTTTTCCCATAAAATAAGACAAAAGGGCTGGTAAGGTTTTGCCTCTACCCATGTAGCGTATCTTTTAGCAGTGGGAACATACAGTGGCTCCCGTCCCTTTCACTGCTGTCTCTTTTCACAAAGACTGACTGCTTGCCTGAACTAGGGAGGTTTCCTGCCTCAAAAGCAAGTCTTTGAGGTTTTTGTTTTCTTCTTCTTTCATGTGTATGGCATTCTTCCAGGTTCATAATGTTGGGTCAGTGCTGGCCCTGTCTGTTCAGTTTGGGAATGTCCTTCTAGGTGGTCATTGTACACATGTCTGTAAGCCCCAAGTCTCCAGTCCTAAGGGCAAGTGGTGAATGTATACAGTACAGGTGAATAGAACAGAGCAGGGCTGTCTTGCCTGGGTTGGGGCTTTGCCTAACTTTTCTGGACTGCCATAAATAGGGGATGATGCTTTATGATGAAAGACATTTTCTAACTTTTGTCTAACTAGCCCTTGAGTTCCTGAAAAGTCAAGGGTGTCCATGTTAGTAATGCATAAAGCAGGATAGTAGTCTTTTAGCATTTAGCACCACTAATAGTTATCTTTTAAAGATGTTTCCTACTGATCTCAGCCACTTTTCTCAGTTCTTGGAAGAACTATTATTGTGTGTGTCTGTGAATGTGTGTGTATGAGTTCTTACCCTCAAGAGTTGATGCTCAAAAGTTGATAGTTCAGAGAGGAAACAGGGAAGAGTAAGTGCTGCCCATTCTGAAAATTATGATTAAAAAGTGAGGAGGCAGGGTGGCTTTGGAAATGTCACTTTTGTTTGAAGTGTGGATAGTATTAAATCATTTCAAAGAGATTTTGGGGCAGAATTAATTAGTTGATAGACTCACTGCACTGCAAAAGCAGAGAAGTGCTCTGAGAGCAGTGAGGGTTAGGGGTAGAGGGGCCAGATGGTATGTGTGACCCAAGTTCAGGCTTTGGGTGATGCTGAGGGGGGGCAGAATTAATTAGTTGATAGACTCACTGCACTGCAAAAGCAGAGAAGTGCTCTGAGAGAAGTGAGGGTTAGGGGTAGAGGGGCCAGATGGTATGTGTGACCCAAGTTCAGGCTTTGGGTGATGCTGAGGGTGCTGAGCGTGGGTAGGGGAAGTAGATAAAGATCTGCAAGTGGGAGACCACCTGCCCTGAATCAGCCTGAGTAATGTTTCTTGCAAACCGAAAATTTATGTGAAAATGTGATGTCATTTCACTGACATCATAAGGTGGCTTGCCAAAGTTAGTGTCTGGATATAAGGATGGGTCTGATATCACTAACAGCTTAATCCTACAACCTGGACTCTGTACTGAATTATTTTCTTCTGGCCTGCTGTTGGCCATCCTGAGCATTGAATGTTTGTAGTACAGCAGTCTTCTCAATATTGTTCTTTAATTTTGACACTCCCAGATGTGGAAAGTGCACAGGATTTTCAATTTCCTTCAACAGTGAGTATAATAGCATTTTGATTGATTGGTGCATATAACATTAAATGGGGGATCCTGTAGAACATGGATTGGCAATTTTTTTCAGTAAAGTGCCAGATAGTAAATAATTTTGGCTTTGTGAGCCATATGGTGGTGTCTGTCACAAACACTGAACTCTGCCACTGTAGCGCAAAAACAGCTTAAGCCAATACGTAAACAAATGGTCATGGCTATATTCCAATAAAACTTTATTTACAAAGGCAGGTGGTAGGCAAGATTTGGCCCACAAATTGTAGTTTGCTAACCCTTACTCCAGAATGCAAAGTTGCTTATTTTATTGACCTTTAACAGAGAAGGGCTTTTACTAAAATAAAAGGCTTTCTTGCGGGAAGAAAAATAGACAATGCAATTGTTTTAGCCTCCTCTTTCCCCCAATTATAATTCCTTAAGTAGTGGTTATTTGTCACATAAATAGTACGCTTCTGTTTATTACTGTTGGAAAGAATTGAGGATTTTGTACTATCTGTTCATATTAATGGAATTTTACTCCTTCCTCTAAAGATTTGAGTATGTTTTGAAAATTCTTCTTCTGGTAGCTCAGCTGTTTGAATAAGGACAAATTCTGGGTTAACTGGTTGGGCCTTTTAGCAGACTGCTTGAATTGAAATCCCAATTTCACAATTTATTAGCTGTATGGAGATAGGCAAGTTGCCTAACTTCCTTTGCCTTGGTTTTATCATCTTTTAAAGTGAAAATAATAATAACAGTATCTTCCTCATCAGTATCTTGCTACAAGGATGTTAAATGATGTAATGCATGAAAAATGGGTAGCACAGTGAATGTACTTACTAAGTGCTCATTTAGTGTTAGCTTTTTTACATCAAATTTCTTCAGTGTCAGAAGTTTGCTGTAAAGTTTTGCTTATAGTGTGCTTTTAGGAAACAGATACTATCTAGATTCTGTTCTCTAGTGTATTGTCTTTTTTTCCCTGAAGAAGGCTTTACTAATTTTTGCTCATTAGTAAATGACACTTATAAGTGTTATAAATTATGCCTTGAGCATATATTCGTGCCACCTGGGGACAGCTGTGCAGAATTGATGCTAAACACAATTTGTTTGCAGCAAAATTGGATAGAAGATACTGTGGCACTAGTACCCCACTCAGCCCTGCTTATCAACACATCTGCCAAGACCTGCTTTTCACTTAAAAATCCCAAAGGTTTCATCCTATGTTTTCTGTCTCTGGCAGCTGAACCAGTGCTGTCACATCACAAACAACTTCTTTTCTTAATATACACATCTGGCGTTGGCAGTTGGACTAACTTCATAAGAGCACATGATCATCACTCATTACAAGATTAAAAAGTACCCCATGGCATCATTGATGTTTTTTAACTTTGATCTTTTGCAGTTGTGATTCATCTCAGTTATAAAACTTCCCTTTAAAGGAACATAGCCGATGACTTATTAGAACCTTCATCTTAAGTAGCGTAAACATGAAAACGGTGCACATCTTTACAAAATGTCATTTACTTTTTTGCCAGCTTATCATTTTAAGACATGACATCATACTTAAGATCTCAAATTTGTAAGTCTTGTGTTTAGGCAAGGCATTTTGACCTCCTTTTGGCAAGTTAGCTCTGAATAACAACTGCCGTATGTTCGCCAGCAGGAGAAATCAGTGTGGTAGCAGCAGCAACAGTAATGCATTTGGATACTTAACTCTTCTAAAAATCAGTTTCTATTAGGATCCTTTGTTCCATTTATGTACTTGGTTCCAACTACAGTCTGATGTAAAGAATTTCTATAGGAAGATGAAAACTTGGTTAGCCATGTCATATTATATAGAACTGGTTCTGAGTTAGGGAATAGGACTGATGGAAAAAGCTATTGTCTGTGCAGAGGATGGAAAAAGTAAAACACCTTACAGTCAGAATCCTTTAAATTCTCTTGCTCCATTTACAGTTATCTATTGCTAAATAACAAACTACCCTAAAGCATAATGGCTTAAAACAACAACCAGTTTATTATTTCTCATGATTCCGTGGGTTGATCTGGGTGGGGTTCATCTGGATGGTTTTTCTGCTGGTCTCGCTTGGGGTCTGTCATGTGGTTGCAGTCAGATGGTGGCTGAAACATCCACCATCTTGGAACATCCAAGATGGCTTCATTCATATGTCTGGTGTCTCGATGGGATGCCTGGAAGGTTGGGTTCAACTGGAATGATAGGACAGCTGCTCCCCTCTCTCTCTCTCCATTCCTAGGGCCTCTCTTCCTCTCCCATGGCTCTCTCCATGTGGTCTCCCATGAAGTCTCTCCAGCAGAGTTTGAATTCTTACATGGCAGCTCAGGGCTCCCTAAGGTGCAAAAGTGGGAGCTATCAAGTATTATTAAGGCTTAGGCTCAGAACTGGCAAGGTGTTGCTTTCTCCACATTGTATTAGTTAAAACAAGACACAGGTGTGGCCCAGATTCAGGGGAAAGAAACCACACAAATATGTGAATGATGGGGGGCAGTGGTTCATTGGACCACCAATGTCATTACCTTCTATAATGGCTTAGCCAGTAAATGTCATTGTTGCAACAAGAGAAAGAATTTTTTCAAGGTACCATCTTCTGAAAGGTCTTTTGGCTTTT